AGATACTGTTCCAAAGGGCAGTTGTGGCAAGAGAGAAGGTTTGCCTCTGGGGTCTCATAAGATGCTGCTGCTTTGTTGATGGGCCTCATAGGATGTTGACCCTTTCAGATCTTATAGATGAACAGAGACAAGTGAAGAGGTGCTGTCCCACAGATATCCAGGCCCTATGCCCTGAAGGGATTTAGAGATGATCACCAGCACCTTGAATTGTACCCAGAAGCCCATAATGCAGCTCATGGAGCAGCAGTGTTACATGGGTGTATTGAGCTGCACCCATAACTACTCACAACACAGCACTGTGGACTAACTACAGTTTCCAAGTAGTCTTTGAGGGCAGCCCCATGTAAAGCAGGTAAAGTGGACTAGCTACAGTTTCCAAGTAGTCTTTAAGGGCAGCCCCATGTAAAGCCCCATACAGTAATCTGACTGCATGATATCTAAGGCATTTTAGTGACATTGAGAAAGACCTCCTGATACACAATGGGCATGATTATTAAAACACAGTTAGGCTATCTTATGTTTTCAATCTCAGGTTCTTTCTAGGACATTTTTTCATTGAATAAATAGAAGTTTACTGCTACAAGTGAATGCAGTTCCACTCTGAGCTAGTACTTTATAGTTGTTTTCAGTTTATGTTGGAAAATAAACACAAACCATAATTTGCCAACTGCAAATTCAGCAACAACTGCAAACTATGGCTTTCCTGAATGATAATGACAGATATGAAACTGGATTATTAGAAGTTTACTGCTACAAGTGAATGCAGTTCCACTCTGAGCTAGTACTTTATAGTTGTTTTCAGTTTATGTTGGAAAATAAACACAAACCATAATTTGCCAACTGCAAATTCAGCAACAACTGCAAACTATGGCTTTCCTGAATGATAATGACAGATATGAAACTGGATTATGGAAATGGAAAGAAGGGGAAGACTACGTAACTCAGAAGCTTCTAACCATGATTGAATTGTTACATCCAAACACCTTGCTCCACTATGTCAAACAATCAGCCTATGATCTGTAGAATATATTTTAAATTATTTCAAAGTTTACTAGCAAATTCTAGCTTTTCATAGCAATCAGAAACACATATCTATAGTCCAAAAGCATGGTATGAACAAAATAAACTATGCCTGTCAATTTGGAAGTTAATTTCCTTTGTGTCAGTAGTACTTCCTCTTTTAGTAAGTGTACTGGTTATTTTAGTTTAAATATTTGTTCAGCAAGTTATTCCATATTAATGTATATAAAACACACTGTTGGACTTCAATGGCTTGAAATAAATACTTTTTCAACACAATTATTGGTATTTTATAATTATAAGTGTTGAGATCTTTAGCTATAATTATGAACTTTTCCTAGAGCATTGTGCAAGCTATTTATTCTGGGTATAACAATAAATAACTACAGAAATACAACAACATGCAAACTCATCAGAGCAGGACAGGCAGCTATGATGAAGGGACAGGGAAGTTTCCTGTTAACACAAGGTAAAACAAATCTGATGAGATAGTTTTCTTTTGGTGGATCAATAAGCTAAAGAATTTAAACTTATTTTGGTATCATATAAATTATTATTCCCATATCCTCATATCTCTGTCTGGAACCTATTATGTAATTCAAACAGGCTGATGAAATTAGTTATAAAACTTAATAAGCTTTGTTTAAGTCTTATACTGACTTGATCCATTATTCAAGTCATAAATAGCAAATTATAGTAAACATAATGATTAGACAACTAAGATCACCAAAAGTCTTGTGGGTTTTAATAATTAGGTGGTTTGTGTTAATAGAAATAATGTGAATTTGGATTAACTAGTGGTAAGAGATTAACTTTTTCTTAATCTGTATTTATAATTGTATGGGAGACAGTCAGAAGTCACTTTCTGTTTCATCTTTCTATTTTCACCATTTTAGTTTCTGTCTTTTTTCTTTTAGTTCTATTTTCTATCTTTATTGTATTCTCTGTTCTGTTTTTAACTGTACTTTGTAATATAATAAAGTTCTTATTAAAAAAAAATCACCAAAAGTCTTAATAAAATTGCTAGGGACATTATATATATTCTTTTTATTCAATCATGTCAGAGATGATTTCCTTGTCTTTTTTTTTTAAGAAACAGATATCCATTGCTACAGATATGTAGTTCCAACAGAATTTAAAAGAGGTTTGTATCAGTTACAGAGGACAGCAAGAAGATGATCACAGTTGAAACATACTCTCAAGATTTACATTTGCAAATTACATATTTAACCAACACAATCTCAGTCTTGGCAACTGCTTTCAGAATTCTATAGCAGTGCTGTTCAATCAGAACGCCATATCCATATTAGCTGATCCCAGGCTGCTTGACTAATCAAAATATACAATTTGGAGACATAATTCTGAACTGCCAAGAAACCACCGTAGTCCTAAATTATATATTCCTGCTCATTTTTAGATGTCATTGTATAAGCCTTTTTTAAAACAATATCATTTTACAAGAAGTCAGGATAGAATTGCTTTCTTTCAACAGATTAATATGGTTTCTCAAAAAAAAAAATTATCCTATTTGTACCATCTCCTTAAGATCTGACATAAATGGGTAGTTACACTGCCAAAGGGGCTATACGCACTCCTGAATGACCTTTTCAGCGTCTCTAAGCTTTTTGTCCCAGTAAAACACAAGTGGCAAGTTGGTCCTTTTAAACAATAATTAATAACATATGCAGGACTTTTCATGACTGTGTATATTGCTAGATTTTGGATTTTAAGTGTTGATGTCTTGAACGTTTTAAGTTAATTCCTTATTTTGCATTCTATAAATTGTCAAAACTAGTAAATATAAATAAAACAGCAAAGATAAGTAATAAATTTAGTGAGAGAACACTCTATAAAATTCTACTAAAAAAAGCATTTTCAAGATACACACTAGATTAGATTCAGACATAGCTGTAATTAAAGTACAGACTAAGTCTGGACCAAATCTACTATATTAATCTAACTTTAGCATGGCATTTAAACACGCAGCATAAACATCAGCAACTGAAAAAAAATATGGAGAAATAAATAAAAATTGGACTTTTGCCAAAAGTATGTTTAGAATTAAGTTTGTCAAAGTCAACATACCAAAGTGTGCTGAACCACTGCTACTTTTACTTTGTATAGAGGTACTGCATGTCTGGGTCCCAGGTTGTGCTGTGCCTGCTCGATTTACACTCCTGTGTAATTTCCTATAGGAAAGTTCATCACTGTCACTGTCATGTAGGGATGGTGTCCGAGGCCTAAAATGCCGCCATCTACATGATTTGATATTGACAAGTATCTGACTGAGGTCTTTAGAGAAATATCTGTCCGAGGTATTTGTTTCTGAGGTATTGGCAAATTGATTGACTGAAGAGTGTAGTTGTGAGGAAAGTATTTCTGAATCCAGCTGGCAAAATGCACTGTTGTTCTCTGAATAGGCTCGGTCCAGGAGCACCCTAAAAATGGAAAGAAGGCTATTTTTAATTGCATACAAGTCAAAGTGTCATTCCTATCTTCATCCAAAACTTATTTTTAAAATGTTAGGAAGAAATAGCAGAGAAATTCTGTGTGAAAACATCTTCCAAACTGGTTGTTTCAACTACAGGAAAAACATTTACAACAGGGCCATGCGCAATTTGAAAATTACTTGGAAGAAATGGTCAGGGTCCCATGAAAATCCTGTACTTTTCTTCTATTTATTAAAGTATCAGGTCTTTTTTCATGCTTCCACATTATCCTGAAAGAAGGTGCTACTTCTTTAAGGAGTTGACTAATTAAAATGAATCTTATTAATGGGAATAATAATAGGCTTATGTGGAAGGCTGAAAAAAACTTAGGCTTTTTCTAATGTACTATATAGTAAAGAGGTTTTATGCTTGGGCGAGGTAAAAAACAGTTTTTCCAAATAATTTTTGAAGTATGCTCAACCCTATTTAAAAGCTACGTGTAACAGGGCAAGACAACATACAATGAAAGAAATTGATAAGTTATACTTTTTTATTACAGCAATTTAGCAAGAACGGTCTTTTTTTAATTACAAGAAAAAACCCTGCCTTTGAAAGATAACTAGGAGCCTCAGGTTCACTAAGTCCAACTTGCTACATGCATGGTAATTCCCTAACTGATATGAAACAAGTCAGTATCTGACTATTTGGACAAAATGTCAAACTACTGTAAGAATATAAAGAGGCTGACTGTACCTTAGGATTAATTAGTGGAGGGAAGCAAAATAAAGAACAACCTGGATAGATGTCACTATTAACAAGGATAGCTAAATACCAGAAGTACATTCACTGCTCAAATGCATGCAGTTTAGTTAGGAGATACAAGATTATTTCTTTCTTCACAAACGTAAGTGATCCTTATTGTGAATGTAACCTTTTTATAGTTTAAGGATCACAAACAAGTTTAAAAGGAAAATGTGGTAATTAGGCCTTAACAGTGTCAAACTCTAGCTGCAGGGGACAACAGAGAATATGCTGCAAAATCCAACTGGAATTAAGACAAAAAGAACCCACATCCCTCTAAATCTAGAAAAATAATCCCATTTTTAAAAAATACACATAAATACTTAAAAATACTTTATTAAGTAGACCACTACCCACAAAAGATGGTGTATTCTTCTTACAAGCCCCTAACTTGAAGCAATTTTGAATGTGATGACAGCAAAGTAGATTATGAGACTTGTCAAAGGGTTTGTTCACATTGCAGAATGTGAACAAAGCTATGCTAAGAAATACTAATATATATTTATATATACTTCTTTCCAAGCTGGTGTGCATCTGCAGTAGTAGCAATGTGAAACACACTTACACCTAATTTTTATAAGGTATAAGAGTGCTGAAGGTGCCAGCACAGCTGGATAATATTAAGAAAAATAATTTATTACATGCTGAAATCAGTATTATATTACAGCTCACTCTTGACAAAAGAATCCAGACAAGATATGCTTAGGTTACTATTTTGATGCCACAGAAATCTAACGTATTTCTAATGTATAAATCTATTACTAATGTAATTTGACATGGATTTTAATACAGCCAATCATCATCATCATCATCATCATCATCATCATCATCATCATCATCATCATCAACACTATACCCATGCAAATCATTTGATGAGAAATCACACTGCTTTGAGGCCTACCTATAGTCTTCTGGTTATCTGCATACACAAATGATCTCATAAGAACCTCAAAGCACCTAAACTTTTAAGCAGAAGATGCACAGATCTACATGGGTACCATGAAGGACCTCCGCTCAAGAAGGATGAACTACCACACCTGTCCCACAAACAGATTACCAAACTGATAGTTCAATAGGCATAACAGAGGTCTGGTACATGTCACAGGCTTTCAGGATCTTCCCATCATTTTCAGGTAATTTATAGTGTGCAATGACATGAAATATGATTAGTGCTAATCTCTAAATCATGGATTTAAAGGGGGAAAAGAGAAGGGGAAAAGTCACAATAAGGTTGTGTGTTTCTATAACAGAAGGGAGAAGATCATCTTAATCAAGTCAAAGGTACACATTAAGAATACAGGTGGCTAATTTTATGTGCTAATTTAAATAACTGAGCAAGCATAAGTTACAACTACATTTCAACTATTTTACTACATCATGTTCAAACTTCAATATGATATTAATGTAGTGAGTTTTAAGATAAATAAGCCTACCTTCCACCACGTCCAACCCGTCTACGTGAAAACCCAATGCACCTTTGTGGCACAGTAAGGGTGGTTAAGCAATATCTATAACGCTCATCTCCTAATGTTCCCCCTTTAGGATTATTCCATGGCCAGTCACCAGTTTGGTCTAAATGAGGCTTTGAAAAGAAATATTTGAAAAGGGTTAAACATGAATTTTAATTAATATAAGTGTAACAATACTGTAGAAACTCAAGACTTACAGCGTAATACTGACAGCCTGCTTTCCTACGGAAAGCAAATGGCCCATCAGGATCATTTTCTTCCTCAGCTTCAGAAGAGCCAGACAAGACCTTCGAAAAGAAAGCAGCTGATAAGAATAAAGACACAAGTATCTTTCCTCCCCCTAAACCAAAGAAATTATAGATGTCATACTTGAGAAAGAGGTTCTTCATCAGAGCTGGGAAAGTCATATTGATTCATATCTTTAGCATTAAAGATTGGCAGTGCAGCAGGAGTTGTCTGTTGAGTAGCAATAGCAGCCGATGAAGGTACAATTTTGGGCTTCTTCTCATATTTTCTCTTCGGTCGTATAGCATCAGCTTTCTCTTGCTGCATGAAGAGAAAATGCATTAATAGTTTTATCTAACTGAGTAAATCATATCCATTAGGAGAAGATGTTAGTTTTAGTAACATTTTTTTAAAATGCACCATTGTGATAAAATGAGAAGTAAAGAGGGATTTCTGCTTCCCTAATGGACAATCTGGTAAAACTTCTTTCAAGCTAAGTGTAACTCATGGTGACTTCATGAACATTTCTAGTAAGAATTTTCTTTTGCATTTTTTCCATCTTCACAATCTAGACCACACCCTGGATTTCCTGTTGGTCTCCCATTCAAATACTAACAAGGTCTGACTTTGCTTAGATTTTCAAGATCAACCAGGATTAATTCGTAAGAAGCTTTAACATAATGGACTAGCAAATTACTTACCAGAGGGAATAATAAATAGGAGTATGTACCTAGAGATCAGTTATCTTGAAGTCATATGGAATGAAATTAAGAATGACTCACATGGTTTGAAGCACATTTATAGCATGGAATCACAAAGAGGCAATTTTTTTCAAATAAGTAATATGTATAGCATCACACACACACACACACGTGAGAATAGATTTAGTCACCTTGTTTATTTTAAATTCCTTCAATTCCATACTTTCTTGGTGTTTAAACTGAGTGCTATTAGGAACAGGAATAACAGGAATAGGATAGGTAGGCTTCATGGGCTGTCGATGTACCATTACTTCAGACATGATCTCTCCATTATAATCGCCCAAATTATATCTGGAAATTAAAGAAAAAGTTTGAACTTGCCAAAACTTTTCAATGTTAGTTTAAATACTTAATATCTGCATCTTTATTATCTAGTGAATCTACATCAGAATTTCCCTACCTGGCAATTTCCAGATACATGGACATTACTTCTAGAATTTCCCAGCCAGCATGGATATTGCTGACAATTCTGTGAGTTCAAGCTTATACACCTGGAAATTGCCTATGCTGAGAACTACTGATCTAGACTTGAGTGTTACATAATTTAAAAAGTCTTACTCAAGAAGAAAAATATAATTACAGAAATACTCAAAATATATATTCTAAAAGGGTGATTCCAGTTAAGCATGCAAAATTTTTCAAATTTGAAATGTTCTGAGATCAACATATCCCTTTTCAGCTTGGAAAAAAAAATCAGCTTCAAAAAAGACTGCTCTGACTTCACAGGAGTTGTTCGAATGCTGTCTTCACTTGCCAGAAGTGTTCTCAGCTTGAAATAACCAGGGTGTTTTAAAGTGCTAAATATTTTATACACCTCAGATAATAGTAAGTGAGATTAACATATATTTTCAGTCAGTATTTCCAACTCTAAAAGCATAATGGATCTTTAATGATATTATTTCAAGCAAAGCAGACTTACTGTACTTTGGTCATTATGAAGCATTACCACAGATTTCTAAAACAGTAAATTCAACCCCTCTTAGCATCTTAGTCCAATACAGAACATCTTAATTTATTTTTAAAGGTATTTTAATACATTCCAATCAACCAATATTCTCCCTTTAGAATGAAAAAAAAAATGTCCCCTGCAAATTAATACATGCCTTTCATTTGTATAACTCCAGATAGATGCCTAAAGTTGCCTTGGTTTCAAAATTACAAAAGAAATCCTTCATGTGACATTGACTTACACGAAATCAGATTAATCTATCCACTACTTCAATATTATGTGGTCCAATTGCCACTGCCTCTCAGGGCCTTAAGAGGAGGCAAGAGGACTGAATGTAAGATATCAGGACATGTCAACCCCTAATAATCCTTTTCTCCAAAATGGTAAAACTTGCCATTAATAACAAAGAAGTCAAGATAGTTTGTTTGATAATCTAAAACATCAATGTTTTTATCCCCATGCCTACAAGCACACCTATGTTACAAATGTGAAACAAATTAAAAATATATTACAATTTTTAAGATTGTATTATTTATGTTACAATTTTATAAGATCTTTATTTAATAGCATTCATAATTTAAAACCAAAATTGAACTGTTTTACCTCTTTTCCATAATCTCCAATGTTAAATGCAGTAATTCTCTCTTGCTTTTTTCCCTTCTCTTTATCATTTCTAGAATTGTTACTGCACGACTCAGATCCCGCCTCAGTTTAAGCATCTTTTCATAAGAAGCTTCATCATTCTTTCGATTCTGCAAAATGTAGTAAATATGCAAATGAAACATTCATATTTTAGACATCAAACTATTATATATCAAGTATTTCCATATCTGAATATTGTCTATAATTATTTATTTTTGAACCACAAATTCTAAATATTTATCTATGAAGACTTCTATGCCACTTGAATCACTGTGACTCTAAGCAGCTCAAAACAGAAAATTGCAGTATTACAGTACAAAAATGCAGTAACTAATCTAATGATTATAAAATGCATTCATAATTATTATTAACAGTGCCCTCAATCATCCCAGGTACAACAAACTAACAACCGTTTAGTCCCCACATGCTTTTTGCAATTGCCATGCTGTTAAAGGCTTCCTAAACATCTATAGTGAACACACAAATCTTATTTCTGGTAGAAGGGCATTCCATAAGAGAGGAGCTCCAACAGAAAATGCTGGCTTCTGAATTCCCTCCTACCACTTGGTGGGATTCTCATCAAGCATTTTTTGCAGACACAATTTGGAGAGGCAGATTCTATTTGGAGTAAGCAGTCTCTATAGGACTTTAAAGGTGGCTCCTAGCATCTTGAACTATACACAGAAGCAGACTAACTGTAATGGAATGGAATTAAGAAGGCCAGGCTCAGGGAGATAAGCGTTTTCTTAGTTCACCGAAAGAGCGTAGGAACTACAAAAGGATGAGGCTGGCACCTCCCTGAGGAATTCACGGTGTTGTGGCTAGCTGGCTTAGGAGCTGGGGTTTCAGTCTGCTAGAGGTTGTAGCTAATAAACATAGCTGAACTGATTTTGCATTGTCTCTTGGAGTTCCTTGGGCTAAACCTGACACTAACAGAGCTCTTGCTGTACTTGCTGTTGTATGGGAAAATCAAGCTGTTCATGTTAATACATGAGCTGTTGGATTTTGCAGTAATTAGAGCTTCTGGATATCTTCAATGACAGTGCCCAGTAGAGCACACTGCAGTAGTCCATACATGAAGTAACAAGGGCATGGGTGACAGCTACCAGTCCTAGGAACAACAGCAACTGATTCAAAAGCCAAAAACTAAGCAAAGGCCCTCCGGGCCACAACTTCCACCTCCTGTTCTAACAGGAGCTGGAAGTCCAGGAGGATGCTGAGGTTGTACATCAGCAACTTCCAGAGGAGTACAACCTCATCAAGAGCTGAAATTGGTGTTACCCTAGAATCAATTGGTTTCTGAATTAGCAGGCACTCTGTCTTGCCTGGGTTGAGTTTCAACCTCTTTTTCCCCATCCAGACCCTTACAGTCACCAGTGAGTCAAAGACTCCCATCCTTCTCCCATTTGATCTGGGATGGAGATGTATAATTAGGTATCATCTGCATACTGATAATACCATACCTCAAACTGTCGAATGACTTCCTCCCTCCAGCCTTGTATAGATGGGGGAGAGGTTTGAGCCCTGAGAAATTCTATAATGAAGTGCCTATGGGCTGGGAGGTTGCAGACTGGGTGATAGCTGTCCAATGCAGTTGGGTTAAAAACCAGCCCCTTAAGGAAAGGATCTACAATGCCCCCTTCAAAGACATCCCACAAGGTGTCCACCATGGCTTGATCCATCTCCCCATCCCCTCCTTGGCAGCTTGCACAAGCCAAATAGGGCAGGGTCAAGCTCATCTCACTAAAGATTGCCCAATTCCACAGGATCAACATGTTCAAACTCTTTCTCAGGAATCCTTGCAACACACTACCCTCACTTTTCTGGACTCTGTCCAACTGGCTTCTGAGTCCAAGTGAATGCAAGTGATTTTTATCCACAAAGTGCTTTGCTAACATTGTCACAGGAGTATTTTAATAGTCCATCCTTCTGTAAAAGAATCTGGTTCATTTTAAAAAGACCCCTGGACAGCAATCTGTGGATGCAATAAGAGCAGGGAAATAGCCTATATATATAGACTCTATACACACACATATACATGCATACTCACTTTTCGAGTCTGCATCTTTTCTGTTCGCCTTCTAAATGCAACGTAAGGATCATTTGTGCTGGAACCATCACGCTTCTCCTGTTTCACTGCTGAGATAAGAGAGGGACTTCGACAGTTTTTTCTCTTTTTAATCCAGTACTCATATACTTCTCTAATCAGTTCATCATCTTCCTTCAAGAGTAGCTTGGCTTCCTGCAGGCTGACTGGCTAAAGGTAAAATCCAAGTATGTCACTTTTATATATTTATACTCTTAAAACAATTTCAAATTTGAAACAATACTATACCTGCTGACCACTTCCTTTTTCAAGTCGATCTATCATTTCCTCAAATTGCAAAGGAGAAATATCTATTTTTTTCTTCAGCTTATTCACAAAGGCCTCATCTTCTGAATCCAAATCATAATCTGGTTGCTCAGCATCCAAACTAAAAGCTGAACAGAGAAAAACATTTTTATGGGTTTTTCCCCCATCTAGGCAAAACAGAATAAAATAATTTAGATGTAAATCTGGAATAGTTCAGATGAACAACTGGCATTTTATAGGAGCTGAAGCTAACACAGTTTAATGTCTACTTCAAATTAAAAGAGTTTAAAAATATGCACATATATTCCTGCCAACTTGAAGTCTACTAACTATAAAATTATATTCCTTAACGAGTCCTGAGAATATGGATTTAGGATAGGATAGAATGCAGATAAATAGCTGAAATAATATTATCAAATGAATAGGGGCTTAAAGTCTAGTAAAATAGCCTTCACCAGATAATCAATTCTTCATTAAGGGCTATTGTTTTCAGGGTGAATAAGACAGACTTGGTAGATCTATCCCATTACAGGTAGTCCTCGCTTACCGACTGCCTTGTTCAGCGACCGTTCAAAGTTACAACGGTGCTGAAAAAATAACTTTACGACCAATGTCCGCATTTACGACCTTCACAGTGTCCATCAGTCACGTGATCGCCATTACAGCCAGTATGCGTTGTCCTGTGCCTGACCTGTTGTTTTTCTTTTTTTCCCCCCTTGCAGAACAGAGAGATTGGAGAGGAAAGGATTAAAGAGAGTAAGTAGGCACACAATGGGGAATACACATCAAAAGCAATGCGCTGGTGCTGGCAGCTGTGAGCACGCTATGCAAACAGCCCAGCATATTTCCCACTGTGTGCCTGTTTACTCCCTTGTAATCCCTTCCTCTCTAAACTCTCCACTCTGTGAGGTGGGGAACAGGTCAGGCACAGGAGAGACTGCCTACAGAAATTGCTTGTTTCCCCACCCCACCCCTGCAGAGCAGAGAGATTGGAAAGGGATTACAAGAGAGTAAGCAGGGACACAATGGGGAATACACATCAAAAGCAATGTGCTAATGCTGGCAGCCACAAGCACGCTACGCAAACAGCCCAGTGTATTCCCCATACCGTGAGATAGTATCATGGCCCTGATCTTGCTGTTTAGGCAAGCCCTCATAAAGTTGCCCTTTCAACTTATTTACAACAACATTTGTTGTACTCAAAATGGAACAAATAAAAAACCAAATATGTCTATTTCTAATCTGCGGGATATCAACTAACAGCTACATTAAAAAGAATTCATAGTCCTTGAGAATTATTTTCTGTGGGGTAATACATCTCCAATTCCATTTTCTTTGACCAAATCTGAAAAACTTTACCTGACAATGTTAAGTTTGATATAAGAATAAAAATAATAATAAGACATAAAGAGAATAAAGATGAAAATATAAGACATACATTTTCAGTTGGTCCTTGACAACTCTGAACAAGTTATAAACTATAAACTGCATGCCATGTAAGTTATATCAAAGAGTGCTATAAGGATATTTTTCATTTTTTAAACACTATCATATTTTATTATATAAGAGACCATATAAATAACACAATTTAACTATTTTGAGCTCAATATTTTTTGTTTATCAAATTTAGTTAATAAATCTAATTACTTAGTTACATGAAGTAATATATCTTTCTTTATATCCAAAGGAGATTGTGAATCTAGAAAACTATTTTAATTTTTAAAAAAGCAATCAAGTTAATTTTAAACATTCAGTTTATACTCACGCTGTATGTGAATAAGCTGCTTTGGCATCTTAAATTCTCCAGGGTATATAGATTCATAATAAGCAATATTACTTTCTGCTTCTGGGACTGGTATAACCATATTATCCCGCTTCTCTCCATATACCTGCTGTGCTGAAATGGCCCGCTGGAGATGATGTTCCTACAGTTCATTAAAAAAAGACAGATGAAAATCGAAATACATACTGTGTATGTGTATGTGTATATCTAAATAAATGTTAATGTGGAAACAGAACAGCTGAATTAATATTAAAACTGTTTCACCCAGATATTTTTGCCTTATCAGTTGAACTTTATACAGATTCTTCGCCTCCAGTGAACTTATTACAAAATTTTAATTGATTTTCATGTGTAGTAAAAGTAAGCCAAAATCACAAACACCACTAGATAAAACTAGAAATTTTGCCAAAAGGTTTCAGTATTTGTCATTTTTGCTTATGAAACATATTTTAAAATAGACAATAAAAATAAAATGAAACAAACTAAGCACTGATGTTTGTTTGTCCTTAAAGATATTTTTCTTTGTAAAATAATTAAAATAGGTAGTTCTACAGCCAGAGCACCAACTAAGAGTAATCCAAATGGAAACCAGCTTCGGGAATCTATGCCTTTTTCCCCCCTAGCCATACACCAAAACCTTTCCTACTCCCTAAAGCAAATCTGCCTCCCTCTTATAATTAAGTGAAATCATCAGCTATCATATTAACTATGTTTAAGAAGAAATCTGTCTCTTAATGAAATGAGAGGACATATCCTTAGTGCTGGATCACAATTTCCTATAACCTGTAATTAAGAGAGAAGCTGCCAATTGTAACAGCAGCTGGTGCTCATATTTTGCTCACATTCTTTAAATCATGCTGTAGAGGAGAAATGTGATTAGAGGCAGAGAACCATTGTTGTTACAGGGCAAACTTCTTAAAAATATTTTCAACAATCAACAAATTGTTAATTCCAACAGTTTATAGTATCCTTCCAACACTGTTTGGAAATGGAATCCAATGTTACTGCTAAACTAAAAGCAGTTTCCAAATAGCCTTCAAGTGCAAATTTACATACAAGATATTCCCATAGTCTAAATGTGATTAATACTAGGTAAGAGGAAAGGAGAGATATTCACCAAACACATAGACTGGACCAGCAATGCATCCTCACTACTGTTTTCTAAACTATTTGCAACTTGTCAAAATGATCAGCAAGATTCTTTCACAGATTCATACATATTTTTTATAATTCATACTAATTCAATTATTTTGGACTACAACTATATAAATCCTGAGCAGCGATCAAGTTAGAAAGTTACATTCATTAATAATCCCAAATGTGTTAACAGCATAAGGCTGACTACAACTGTTATCAACTGTGTATTTTGATCCCATTTCTCAGGTTCTCTTAATATTCTTCCTTATGCTGGTTCCAGTTATCTAACTGACTACCAAAACCTCTTGCTTATCATCAGCATTACCCCAATACAACTGCACTTCAACCTGGTCCATGCATTACAGTTTAGGGAGGATCCAATAAACAATCAGCATGTTTTCAGAAATATTTAAAACATTACATTTTCAACTAATGTGGTATGGTCACAATGGAGGTGTTCTGAAGTTACAATTTCCTTATATGTATTACATTACATTATATAATTATATAATACTAATTATTTTGTATGAAATGACAAAACTTGCCTTTTAGACCTTAGCTAAGAACAGAAAAGGCTGCTCAAGCTGATAAAGCACTGAAAGATTTACACTATTTTTTTTACCCCGCTAGAATCTACATTGATTTGTATCAATCAATTTCTTTTCTCTGTGTGTGCGCATGCACACATGTGCACGCACACGCCTTCGAGTCAGTGTTGACTCCTGGTGTCTGCAAAAGTCCCTGCAGTTTTCTTGGCAAGATTTCAGAAGTGGTTTGCCATTGCATCCTTCCTAGGACTGAGAGAGTGTAACTGGCCCAAAGTCACCCAGCTGGCTTTGTCCCTAAGGCGAGACTAAACTCACAGTTTCCAGGTTTCTAGCCTGATGGCTTAACCACTACACCAAATTGGCTCTCTGTCTCTTTTCTGACTGCCTGGTAATCCAGAACTTTCACAGGGAAGAAAACAAGATGCAAATATATAGGATTGTTTAAAGGGTGGTGGAAAACAGGGGGAGGTCAAAGATAATATTTGTATATTATTCACCAAGTATATATGGACTTGAAGGCTGTTTGTTAAATTTCTGTATGCAGACAATGGATGTTGTGTTATCTGATAATCTGAATGATTTGCAGCCCATGTATAATGCAAGAAGAATCATTTTTAAAAATGTATTAGAATTGTTGGTTTCAGCAATTTTAAAATAAAATAACAAAAACTAAATACAAGGTTTAGGCCATCAAGCAGAGTCATCTTATTATGCTATCAGTCATCCAATTATATGGTATTTGCAAATAACTGACACTTTTCATCTCCTTTATCTACTTTATTGTCATGGCTGCCCATTCTTTTGTTCTTAACTTCCTTTTGCCTACTGCACATGGCAAAAGAATCAAAATCTCCCATCAGAAAGCAAATTCTTTCACTGTGCGAAGCCCAACTACATCGCTGTAGACGTGGGTAGATAAATCTACTTCTGGGGGCAGATATAATTTACAGTGCAGCACATAGCAAATCAAATCTTCCATATGAGGTACTTTAGAAATACCTAAGCACACTATGGTACAGAAATCTCCTTGTATCTCCTCTTCACATATCTGAAGGAACAGTCAGAAAATACAGCTCTGTAAAAGCTTGTATCAAAGGGCAGCTTATCAAGAATTGCATATAGGCACAAGCCATTATACAATTTCACCAGCAGCAAGTTAGAAAGTTGTACAGGTAGTTCTTGCGGACAGTAATCAGGATTGGAAACTCCATCGCTAAGTGACACAGTCCTAAGGTTAATGTCATGTGAACATCAACTTATGAAGGCAGTTCTGGCAGTCCCAGTTGCCATTGTTAGGCGAATCCCATGTAATTGCTATTTGCAACCTCCTGCCAGCTTCCCCAGTGACTTTGCTTGACGGAAGCTGGCAAATGGCAATCACGTGACTGTGGGATGCTGTAATGTCGTAAGTGCCAAGCACCCAAATCACGGTCATGTGACTGCAGGGACACTGCAATGGCCGCAACTATGAGGACCTGTCCTAAGTACCACTTGTTCAGTGCCGTCATAACTTTGGTCACTGAAAGAGTGAATGTTAAACGAGGACCACCTGCACTATATACTGATCATCAGTCCTGTTAAGAGTCCACAGAAGCTAATCAACCCCTAAGTTTTTTTCCCCTTACACTTAGGTTGATACACATATTCTACAGGCGCTGAGTATCATTTCAAATACCACTAACAGGTCTGAGCCCAACCAGCTCCTGCAATCCAGTCTCTGGCATGTGAAACAATATTTTTTAGTAAAAACAAATCACCCTACTGGTAACTAAAGTCATCCACACTTCTCTCATGAGAGCAGTGGGAATGTTGGGGGAAGAGCAAGTATAGTTCTTACAAATTTATTCTAGATCATTTCCAGATAACTGAGTTTGTCCATTCCCCATATTTCTGCCCTGTATGACAATTGGGCAACTACTTTTCCTTTAAAGGTATTAACTGCTGAAGGGATGATTCTTATAATATTATTTAATAATATAATACAAACAATAATCAGTTATTATGTTAATAATTATAAAATATAAAACTAGATAAAGAGAACCCAATTAAACAAATAAGTCAAAAACATTATACTTGTTCATTGATTTATTGAGAAAAATGATCCAAAGCTACATATTTGTGTGGTAAAAGTATGTGAATCTTTGCTTTCGGTAACTGGTGTGTTTGGGCAGCAATAACTGCAACTAAACGCTTCTAATAATTGTTGATCAGTTCTGCACATTGGCTTAGAGGAATTTTAAGCCATTTCTCCTTACAGAACAGCTTCAATTCAGGAATGTTAGTGGGTTTCCTCGCATGAACTGCCCACTTCAGGTCCTTCCCTAACATTTCTATATGATTAAGGTCAGGACTTTGGCTTGGCCATTCCAAAACATTAATTTTCTTTTGCTTTAACCATTCTTTGGTCATATGATTTGTGTTTTTTGAATCACTGTCTTGCTGCATGACCAACTTTCTCTTGAGCTTCAGGTCATGGATAGATACCCTGGCATTTTCCTGCAGAATTTGCTGGTACAATTCAGAATTCATAGTTCCTATCAACAATGTTGTCCAAAGGCAGCAAAGCAGGCCCAAATCATGATACTGCCACCAGTATTTCAAAACTCTTTGAAAATAGGTTTGTAAACTTTTCCAGCCTAGTGAGCATCAACAACTGTATTTTGGAGAGAGGACTTCCCACACTCACACCTGATAATCCCATTGATTGAAACATCTGATTTATAATCCCAGAAGTTCACATACTTTTGCCACACACAAATAGATAGCTTTGGATAATTTTCCTCAATAAATCAATGAACAAGTATAATGTTTTTGATTCATTTGTTTAATTGGGTTCTCTTTATCTAATTTTAGGACTTGTGTGGAGAACAGATCACATTTTATGTCATATTTATGCAGAAATATTGAAAATTCAAAAGGTTCACAAACTTTTAAGCACCACTGTATATTATTATATTAACCACCTACCTTCTTTTGAAGAGTTGTGGGGAAAGAGAACAGCACACTTTCATGGATTGCATGGCTGTCATTTTAGCACTAGTAATGTGAAGATATCATGACAAGATTGGGAAAAGTAAATACCAAGGTATTTTTAAAAATTTACCCATACCAATGCACTGCCATCAAAAAGCCATTTATATTTGTTTGTTTTTTGGTAAAAACTATCTGGATTTTATAGTAGTTAGTTACAAACTACTCAGATTTACATGACTTATTTTTTTAAAAAATACTTAAACCAAGTTGTGTAGCTGAAAGTGATGCCATGTCATGTGCTTATTAAAGAGCAGAAATCTTACATTCACCAACAGATAATGGGAAAAACTGGGAGGGAAGAAAGATCTATGACTGTATCACTAATATAACTGAAGAACAGAAATGGTGCCAAGATAAATCCTTGCCTCTCTCAAGGCATATTTATTATATTTTTTCTGTTAATCCACCAGCTTGATCTATATGC